ATAAGTCACAGGGGCCAGAGCGGCAGAGAGAGTAGATAATGAAATGGACTTAGGAACTGCTGGGAATTCCTTTGTAGGTTGATCAAGATAGTGTGGAAGCTCTTCATTCTTTCTGTCTTTCAGGGCATACTAAGAGAAAGCGCGTGGGGGGGGGGGGGGGGGGGGGGAGGTAAGCCAATAAGAGACATGAAAGTCTTTTGATTTCTGGAAAGGAAGAGTTCGTGTATCCAATATGTTGTCTGAAGGCTAGATGAAATATAATTGGAAATATGAGATCATTATCCATAAAAAACTTTTAATTTTATTCCTTTTTACCTGCACCTCGGGCAAACTAGGTTTTATTTGTGTGCTGTGTGAGGATGGGGTGTGGTAAACTAGACAATCATTGGTTTCTCACTTTTTCTAGACCCTTAACCTATGGGACCAGGGACTCAGGGAGGAGATTAGCACTTAACATCATGTTAACATATTTATATGAGTGTAATACTGTAATGGATGGAGGTGTGTGCCTTTTCTTTTAATGAGCTGAACATATCCGGAAACTGGTCTATCAATATGAAAAGATCCTGCTAGGCTGCAACTAAATTGCTGATTTGAATCATCTTAAGCTCTAGATGCAGTCATACGGTCAAAGAGTATAGTATAACTCCTTTGGCATATACACTTCCCGGAAATATGTGATAGAGGTAGGAAGTCTAGCAGTTGGTGCTCAGCAGGTTCATACTGCAAATAGTGAAGTTCCTCTTTAGGGACTTAATTTGTGTATTCCTGTAAGTTCTTTGCAACTGGTTTATCTAGTGTTTCTCCTCCATCTTTCTTTAATGGCATAATGGTTAATGATTTAGAGCCTACTCCATGTTAAATAGAGTGCAAAACGCAGAGTTTAAGGTGTTGGCGGTTGGTACTGGTTCCCATTTTAGAAGTCTATTTGTAGAGTTTTTTGTCACTTCAACCCCATAAAGGACCATAATCGATAGCGTATTTGTGTGGAGCCTTTTTTCGTGTATGAGTGCATAAAATCACCTGTTACTTTACTTCATGGTAAACTCATTTTTATTGTTATGTACTTGCACTATCTTAAACGTCAAGTATATTACTCCCTTCGCTATTTAACTGTTGCTTAATTGATCAAGTTTGTTCTCAAACGAATGTCACTTCAGAACTAGAGATCATTATCGTTTATTTGAGTTATTTCCATCATTATCCTTCTCCACCATAAATTCCACATAGTACTAGTCATGATGTGCTTTTCCTTTCCTACTTCCACCTGCAGTCCTATTCGTTCTCTGATTGAGGGAGGATTTGGTGCTGATCAAAGATCTGATGTGCGATTATATTATGGTGCCCGTAATCTAGAGCGAATGGCTTATCAGGTACATATCTTCCTTGTTACAAGAACTAGACTGTTGATTTTGAGCAGAAACACAAACAGGTTCTTTAATTCTGAGCAAAAATTCAAACATCTTGTTTGATGTATCCTTCGTTTCATCTTTCATTTCAACTTTTATAGGATAGGTTTAAAAGTTGGGAGTCTAGTGGAGTTGAAGTTGTGCCAGTATTATCTAAGCCAGATGATTTTTGGGAAGGAGAGCGTGGCTATGTGCAGGTAGTCAATCAATTCTTATACAATTTTCATTTTCTTTCCTTTCTCTTGTTTAGTTTCCTTGCATGGCAATGACCATACCTTGAGCCTCTTTTTTTACAGGCTGCATTTGCCAAAGCCAAAAAGCTTTTTAGAGCACAGTCTACCGGTGCAGTCCTTTGTGGACAAAAACCAATGGCTGAGGTGTGTGGTTTTATTTTCTTCATAAACCTTGAACTTCTAGCTGTTTAAAATCCGGTTTTGAGTTTCCGGATAGAAGATCAATGTTTTGTGTTCACGTAAAAGTATATTTGGTTAAAATAGATGAAGTTTGAGTCTTTATGTATGGAAGAAATAGGAATATAGGATAGATTTGTGAATTTAATAATAGTTAGGGATATAATAAGCTAATAATCCTTTTTTTCACCTTTTGTGATGAAATTAGTAATAAATATTATTACATTACAAGACGAGGCGGTGTGGTTACTTAGAAAAATGAGTTTATGTGGTTCATATTGAACTGATAAAGTGAAAATAAAGGAAGAATGATTCAGAACCACACAAACATTACCAAATTTGGTATGGGACAATCTTAGTGGGACGGACTAAAAAAGAAAGATGAGACAATCTTAGTGGGACGGATCAAAAAGGAAATATGAGACGATCTTAGTGGGGCAGTAAGAGTTATTTTTAATCAGAAGCAATATGTTGCCAATAACTGGCCATCAATGATATGGTTATTGCCATATGTGGTGCCATCAGATTTGTTACCATTCATAAAACCCCATTCATCGGCTGGTTCTGGTGACACCTCAGCTGATGGCAACACATGGCATGTCATTAATGATAGTTTATCATTTCTAAATTACAAAAGTAAAAATCAATTACATACTATGTTTTTTATTCATATCTTTCTGAGTTTTGTTAATCCTCACTTCTGTATCGAACCAAACACGTTATTTTTTTCAACTCATCCGTTTCCCTTCTCTTTTTGAAAGAATCACTAGTAAATCATCATACTGCTATAGGCAACTGGTTGAATCTTGTACCTGCAGATAGCCTAGGTGTACAATTACACGCTTATTCACCCCGTTGTTATTTCGTAGTCTTATTCCCCATTTGGCTTAACGAGAAACTCTCTTGGTACATTTGACCTCAAACTAAATTCTCCAAGTTACTTTTCACTTGCATGATAATCTCGTATTCCACTTGTGCAAAAATGTGCTTATTTGAAGACGTATTAAGTGCATTTTTGGCTTGACTAGCTAAAAGGCTAATTTTTGTGTTTTTCAGTTGTTAGCTTTTTTGTAGCTAAAAGTTTTTTAAGTGAAAACCGGAATAGCTGTTTGATGCAAGCTCTTTGAGTCTTTTCCCATGTAGCGTTAGAGAAAAGCTTCAAGATTCCTAGAAAAGCTTGCTTACCAAAGACATAGTGATGGCCTTATGCATTCTTTAAAAAATTATAGAAAGCCAGAACCTCTAATACTTGTAGGTCTAATACTAAATGCACCATAACTGCATATCCTATAAACTATTGCAGGAGGTAACTTCTATACTTATAGCTGATGGCGTCTCGGCTGATAAAATCTTGAAGAATTTCTGACTCCCTCTAAGTTTAGAACCAGATTGTTGAATTACTATTGACTTTTCAATAGCAATAAAAAAATTAATTTGACCTGGGCAGACAGCATACTGCAAATTTTATGCGCAAAGTTGGTTGCTGCATTCACAGTTGATCTCAAACCGACCACAAGGTAGTGACAGATCTCGGAGTTTGTAGTTGCAGACTTTATACTCTTCTTTTTTGCCGTCTGTCTATTATCATATGAACTGAGATGGAGCACAGCTTTGAACCAATAGAGAAATAATAATAATAATTATTATAGTATACTGTAGTACTACATTCTTTGAGTTGAAAGAAGAGTCGGAGTTTTGTATGTACATTTGAAATACTTGTATCAGAAGTTTTGTGATGGATATTCTTTGCCTTGAACAGAAGTTTGAAATTGTACGAGTGTTCAGGTACTTCAAAGTTCAAACGTTGGTATTTGTGGTTAGTTTCTTTAATTGTCAGTATCATTTCACTCTTTAGATAAAAAACATATACAACCCGTTACCAAAAAAATCAATTTGAGTCGTTTCACCCTATTTTTGTGCAATGTATGCGTTTAGGGGTTGAACGAGACGAGGGATACCCATTTCCATGCAGCATAGCAGGGTAAATAACATAAATACTGAGCCCGTTTGGTAGCACGAAAATCGGTTGTTTTGGCTGATTCTGCTGAAATTTACGAAGTTCTGGCTGAAGTGGCTACATTGGCTTATTCTGCTGATTTAAGAAAAAATTCTTTTTAAAATTTATTTTATTAACAAAATAAAGAAAAAATTATATGTAAAAATAGCTAAAATTATCATCTACAGTAACATCAGCCAATACAGCCATAAAAGTAACTCCAACCTTACTTTTTCTGCTTATTACACAATTCAGCGCGCGAAAGCAAAACCTACGTGTTTGGTGAAAAAGTTGGCTGATAAGCCTGATAAGCCGAAAAACAGTGTTGCCACTTGCCAAACGGCCTCACTATATGTTTACCCGAAGAAGACATCTCATTGCTTGTAATAAAAAATCTAGAAAAGCAACAAGTACCAGTCAGATCAACTAGACTATGGGTGGACTTGGCCGGGTGGCTCGACCCGGAACTGGCCTGGAACCGGCATTGTGCTGAACCGGCCCGGTGGCCCGGCCAGTGACCGGTCCGGGTAGGCCCGGCCCGGGGGGTTCCCGGTGCGGGCTCGAGTCACCCAAAAGCCGAACCGGCCCGGCCGGTTCGGGACTGGTCCGGGCTTTTTATTTTTTTCAATATTTTTTAACTTTTCGGGTTGGGCTGGGTATTTTGGGCCATTTGGGGTGGTTTGGGGGTTGGGGGTAGGAGGGGGGTTAATTAGGAAAAGGAAAAAAAATGACCCGAGGCCCGGTCCGGCCCGGACCCGGTGGCTATCCGGGGCGGTCCTGGGCCCACCTATTCAGAACCGGCGGCCCACCCGAACCTAGGCCCGGACCCGGCCCGGCCCGAGCCTAGGCCCGGACCGGACCGGACCCGGCCCGAGCCTAGACCCGGACCGGACCGGACCCGGCCCGAATCCACCCCTAAACTAGACCCTATGGTAAAATACTACCCCTTTCAAAACTTGCATGATTTATATGTTCTCAGATCATTTTATTTCCATGAATGTAAGATACTAAATATTAAATACTCCCATATGAGTATATGACCCATTACTGAACACAATCCAAAAACACTCTAGCCCCCCGAAACATTCCTAATTTTGAAGAGAAACCGTGAAAAAAAATGCCTGATGTACACATTTTGGTGTACACTTTTCGTACACTCGTGTGTCTCACGCACAGAGTTGTTTGCCCAACTCGAGAAGAATAGTCTATTCTCTATAGGTAGACAAAGTTGAATGTGAATAAGTTTAACATCTTTTGGGATAATTTTGGCATTTTCTTAACCACATTTCTCTTATGACTTATGCCTCTCTATAAGAACAGAAGATAGTGAATCTGAGTGGCCAAATTAAAATAACACGTTTCAATTGTTTTCAATGAATAAAGCGCAGAGTACATCCAGAAGACATGTCAATACGACAGACATCTTCTCCTAAGCACCCACTCCCGCCAACTCCAGCTGCTCAAGTCTTTTATGGCTGTGATGGTGATGGTGGTGATGCCTGTGGCGATTCCTTTTATGCCCCTCACTTCTTTTATACTCATCTTCATTTTCATCATCACTTGAAGGCTCTGAAGTGCCAGAGTGAGACCGCTTGTGATGCTTTTTGTGGTGCCTCCTTCCGGTGTCATCACTATCATCATCTGAAGAGTCTCCATCACGCTTGTGCTTCTTGTGAGCCCGTTTCTTCCTCCTATCATTTTCCTCTGATTCATCACTATTGTATCCCCCGCTGCCAGAATGTGAGCGTCTGTGACTCTTGTGGTGATGCTTTCTGTGCCTCTTGTGAGAGTGAGACTTCTTGATGGCTTTTCTGTCATAATCACTTTCACTGCCACTGTCATCGAACTCTGAATCAGATCTCCTCTTGTTTTTTGCTGTGGTTGACTTTGACTTCTTCTCTTTAGCTTCGGCATCTGCCCGTGCCTTAGCTGCGGCCTCTAACTTCTCTTCCCACTTCAGGCGAGCTTCGTTCTTCTCCAAAGCTCTCCTCTTTTTCTCCTCGACCAATTGTATGAACTTTTTCGCATCCATTCAAATGACTGAAAAAATTCTGCATTTTGGTATGATGAAGACCAAAGAAATGCATCTCAAAGATGAGAAATGAAACAATGTTAGTTCCTCCATCAAAATATATCCACACACAATCTAAATAATAATAACAATTTAAAGGAAAACAAAATACACATTTTATGCAAAATTTATTTTGTGGAATTTGGGACACTCATGAAATTTGGGACACAATTTATTTTATGAAAATTGTTAGAATATTTTCATTCTCCTGCACAATGATAAGAATGGGAAAACATTGATAGTAATGATGGAAGGGTTGAAGGTGCTAAGGCCATAAGATATGATGATGGTGATGAGGCTATCGGATATGGTGATTGAGCTTCCAGATTTCTGAATTGTGTCATATGTGTGATGTGTTAGTTTGTGTGTTGGGATTCTCCTTTTGAACTACCGTGTTTGAGACATTTTTTTACTTATAATTATGTATATGCTTAGTTGTTTTTTAGTGATATAAATATTTAATTTTTATACATTGGTATATTTTGAGGCTTACGCCTCAATGTCTCAACGCTTATGTTATGACTTTCCTTTCCAGGACAAACCGCCTAACACCCGAACTAGGCTTTTTAAACCTTAAACGTATCTAACTAAATATAAATTACCAATTTCATCAAACTATCTAAGTGTTTTAAATTAACTGATAATAAAAGAATCATTTGTAACTCCAGCTTATGCCCTGCTTTTCATTTTTTTCCTTTTAACCCCCTTTTTAACATATGTAGTTCATTTCAATCTATTATTTTCTTTGAATATCAGCCGCAACAACCTTGGATTGGGCAGTAACAGACTTAAATTAGAGGGAAGATTCAAAGAACTACTTTTCTGTCAAACAAAAAATATTATGCTGTATTAAATTGCAACAGAACAAAGTCGGTTCCTTACCTTGTAACAATTTAATCAAATAAATGTTATAGAAGTCAAACTTCCCTTGTCAAGAGCCAATCTTCGGCAGTGCTATATCCAATTACTGCAGTTGGAATCTGAATTAAAGCGAAAGGACATTAGTCAACATGAATTTATTTCCCACAATTCTACCCGTGCAAGAAAACATTTATCAAAATCCAATAATCAAATTCAAGAAAACGGTGTCTTTACATGTCTAAGGGCAATAAGTGAAACACCTATTTTTGATTGGTGAAGTAGGTACCATAATAATGTAACCATAAGCCCCATACTACAACTGCCGGGGGGGAACATATTTTAGAGCATAAAAAACAAAGGAGCTAAATCTGAACACATCTGGCTTCAAAGAATTAGTCAAGCAAAAAACTATATATAACCCTAATAACTGTAAAACGTAAGCAGTAAGCACTTGACCAATTGAACCCTGAATAAAACAAAAACTACAATAGCATAGAACACAGGAAAATTGTAAATTTCCAGGATTTAAAAAATAAGACTGATATAACGCAACCATCTCAATTGTTGCCATGAAAAATTCAATACCATCAAAGCATAATAGGATAACAAATGATTCGTAGGAATAACTTAATGAAAATCTAACACTGTAATCAGTGAAAGGGTAAATTTTTTTGGGGATTTAACATCAGATCGAAAGAAAAGAAACCATCTTATTGAAGGATAAAATAGATCTGAGTTGCATTTATTTTAAATATTCTCAACCCTGCTTCTGGGTTTATACCCAGGGTTTCGTGTGTGAGCGTTTCCTAGTAACATTAATCCATCAATTGATCATCACTATACTTAAGTTATTCGGCAAGGCACCAAAACTTTAATCGTACAAAAGATTCCTACCAGCGTAGCATAGTTAATCTGAAACTCAAATCGCATACCTTACAAAAGAGGGAGAGAGGCGCAGGCGGAGAAGAACAGATTTGACTTGCGCGTTGTGTGGGAGTTCAAGGCTGCGATTTTGGATCGGTGGTGTACGGCGATGGTAGGGTATATATAGAGGAAATAGATCACACATTCGCTGGCAACGGATTAAAATCGGATATGCCGCGTTTCTAAAATCCAAAAAGGGGTACTTGGGCCTATATTTCGGAGTGCAATTTTGTTAATCACTCCTTGGAGGCCTGAAGGGTTAAGAGCATTGAAGATGCTACAACGTGCACGGTGCACATGTGCCAAGGAGACAACATTTTCTTGTGACATTTCTTTCTCTGTCTTTCCACGGTCTTATATGTTTTTGGTAAGTTTTTTCCTGCAATATCAATCACAATGTCTACATCTAGACAATGTGCTTGACATTGTGAAGAAAAACTTACCAAAATGATATAAGATCGATCCTTCAAATAAGGAGAAATATTCTATTTATTGTTTTTTCATTGGCTATCTCTCATGCCACGTATGCACCGTTAACGTTTTAGCATTGAAGATGCTCTAACATCACCTCTTTAATCAAGGGAGATTTGGTAAACTCGTTTGATTATCGGATTTATAATTTCAAACTCCACCTTATCAAAAAATGTATCGGTTCTTTCGGGTTGAAGAAGTTCGGGTTGCGGTCGGGTTGATTCGGTTTTCGGGTCCATTCGAATTTTAATATATCATTGTTGAAATTGTGATAAATAAAATGGTAATTGGTAAAAATATCATTCAAAATTATACTAGTATAACATTCAAAGTTATAGTTGTATAAATACGGTAATCGGCATATTTGAACATGCAAAATAATAATGTACGGTGATTGGCATATTTGAAATTGTGATAAATGAAATGATAATTGATAAAAGTATCATTCAAAGTCTTAACTACACAACATTCAAAGTTATACTTGTACAAATACTGGTAATTGGAATAAATGAACATGCATAATATGCTCATTGGCATACGATAATTGAGATATTTGAACATGCATAATAATTCAAAGTAGTATATATACTACACTAGTTCGGGTTTTTTCGGCGGGTCGGGTAACATTTTCAATACCCTACCCGACATCCGTCACCCTTAAAGGCCAAGGCTTGCAATTTCGGATCGGGTAATTGGGTTCGGGTCATCCGATCCGCTAGGCGTACCACGGGTATATTCGATCGGATTTTCGGGTCAGCTCGGGTTTTGCTCTCCCCTACCCTTAGCTCACTTCTTGCCATTTGGCATTGCTTTTTTTTTTGTATAAATTACAATAACTTTTTTATTTATTGTCCAAAACTCTAAATTTTATAAAAAATATATCATATTTAATATTTTTTTATGATCTTTCCAATGGTATCAATGTTGTATATAAAAAATTGAAAAAAAATCGTTTTTTCTAAATATTCATTTTTAGTTGGATTTTTTTAAAATTTTTTAGATTCAATTTTGGTAGCATATGAAAGATTGAAAAAAATTAAATTTTTTGATATAGTTTTTTTTAAAAATGGATTAGAAAATAAAAAACTAAACTAATTGCAATATTGTAGCTAATTGTCTTGCCAAATGGTAAGAAAATAGGGTGGGGTGATGTTCACCCTCCTTTGAGGGGGTGATGTTCACCCTCCTTTAAGGGGGTGAACAAAAATGATTTCTATATTTTGATATGAGATACCTATAGGCTATAGCCGACCTAACTGGGCAAATGACCCGGTCAAAGAGTCAATAAAAACCCTGCGGATTGGCCCAATCAACTTTAGGTCAACCCGGATAATATAGACTAAAACATAAAAAAAACTAAATGAAAATTTTAAAATTGTTGTGTATATATGTGTATTTTTATATTTATTAATCCTCACATCCATATGTACTGGTTTATATTAGAGCTGGGCAAAATGGTTTAGTTTAACCGAACCGAACGAAACCAAACCGTTTGGTAAGGATTTGTCCAAATTGAATGGTTTGGTTTGGTTTAAAACCGAAAAACCGTAAACCGCATCGAACAGTCGAACACCAAACAACTTATAGTATGTGTGTGTGTGTGTTTTTGTTCAAATAAGAACATGATCTTAGGAGAGAAATGAGAATGAATCTGGACCGTTAGATTTGCTTTAAGTGAAATTCAATGTGTATTAGATAAAACTGTAATGTGCATTAGGTGAAATTAAAATGTGTAGCACAAAGGGTACAATACAGTGTCATTATGTGAATATGAATTGTGCATTAGGTGAAACTGAAATGTGCACCAGGTGAAACTAAAACGTGCAGAATAAAAGATACGATGTGATGTTATTTTTGTACCTTTTATTTTTACCTAATGCACACTTGAGTTTAAATTTATATTTTTCACATTTCAACGACATGCTCCATATTTTTGATGGGAAAACTTCACCTTCTTCATGATTTCATCAAATATTTCTTCCATGACGAATTGTTGGGCTCGAATAGACCAAAATATGCCATTTCTTAGCCTATATAAAGCCTTCAATTCATCATACAAAAACATTCCATTCCATAGTTTAATTCCTAGGTTTTATATTTTATTCTTGATATTTTTTTCTTCAAGTTCTTGAGGAGGGAAGTTCATCCTACGAAATCATTGGTGTTTAGGTATTATTTCTTTTTTAATTTCATGTTCCAATTCATTTCATATTGTATTGTGATTAATATGAGCATTATTAGCTAATTTCTTAGCTAAGGCTAGGGATGAACTTCTATGCCCACTAGGTGTTTGATAAAAGTTCAAAACCAATAAATTTTGATTTATCCTTTATATATTGATTGTTTATAACTATGGTGTACAACATAGAAGTATGTTAAATTTAGTTTATACTTGCAATTAACGTTGAAGTCTAAACTATGAACATTAAAGGATAAACATATATAGTACCAAGAATAGAAATATATCCGGTCTTATATGATACGGGTGTGATGTCTTGATATTCAACGAGTTTTTTGGTAGATGAATGTAAGCCGTAACGGGACTTACACGTAACGAAAACCACACTCTCGCTGCCTTAACCGGAGTTGAGAATATATTAGCGACATCATATTCATAATTATTGGTGAAGAACTAATATTCAACCCTATTAAAGCATTTAAGTGATTCCCGAAGCCTTAGTTGTTGTTATCGTTCATCTTAAACTTAAAATTAGTTAACGATTATCTTCTTAAACAAAAAGTGAAAAGCCAAAAATATAAAACACAAATCAAAATCCCTGCACTTTACTCATTTCTTCATTTAAAGTTATCTACTCACGGACTAAATTAAACAACGTTTCCTTGTGGATTCGACCTGGTATTTTACCGGAATTTATTACTATATCGGCACTTGTACATTTGCAAGTTTAGCCCGATCATCCAACGGTCCAGATTCATTCTCATTTCTCTCATGAGATCATAGTTCGTTCTTACCGGAACCACTCCATTTATACACACACACACACATACATATACATATACATATACATACATATTGTATTTATTTTCACTCTTCATCTTTAGGATATAAATAAATAATCTAGACATGAAAAATACATGTTTAGCATATATCATTTTAACTTGTTTTACACATTTCCTACATTCATTATGTTAAAGTTAGCTAATACGACATATTTGTGTTTGTTATTTTATGTACTCTACATGTATGAAAAGAAGTTTGGCGATAACAATAGTATATTGCATTTGTATTTTTTACACGATTCATTTGAATAAATTTGTGAATATTCAACATTTGTACCTCTGACTCCTATAGTTTTCTTTGAAGTGAATCTTTTTTGTGAGAAGTGAATCTGTTTCTAGTGATCGAAAAGACGATGTTAGAAATTCTAATGTCATCAGTGTTGGTAAGATAAATAAGGTGTTAATTTATAATATTTTATTATTTCTTTTTCTATCTTTTATTTAAATAATAAATACAAGAAGATGAGATGGACTACTACTTTCATTTTCTAATTCCAAAATATAAAACTTGATCAAATAAAATAATAAACATAAGAAACCGAATCAAATCGAACTAAACTGAACCTAATAGTTTTCACTTTGGTAAACCGAGCTTCAAACCGAATCGAACCGAAACTCAAATGGTTTTAGTTTGGTATAAATTCTCCCAAACCGAATAACCGAAACCGGACCGAAACCGAAGAAAATCGAACCGTAAACCGAATTGCCCACATCTAGTTTATATAATGAATGTAAACCTAGTTCACCACGAGCTTTAATTCTAGACTTCTCTCTGGATTTCCACTCACATCATCTCATCGACAACATATCGATTTTTTCATCCGCTTCTTCTCTACAATCACTGTCCCAACCAGTGGCGGACCCAGAAAAACACATCCATGGGGTCACTACCCTAATTTTTTTTTAATAAATATAAAATTAATAAAAACAAAGTAAAATATTAAAGAAGGATAATGTTTCATAGTTAACGTACATCATCAAAACATTAAGATAGTCTAAAGCAAAAAATTACATATTAAATTCATTCTAAAACTCTACAAATGTACCCTACTAGGTTTCATCAGTTGGAAATATTCTATAATATAATCATCACTGATTGTACCAAAAACATCTGCCACTAAAAGGAGAATAGCCAAAATGGAGGAGTTGATGGGAATGAAACAGTCTGATCTGCCACTGATATACTTGGGTTCTTTTCTACACAAAGGTATGAACAAAGTTAGATATTATGAGGAACCTATTAAAAAGTTTGATCAACGTCTAACAACTTGGAAGCAAAAATATTTGAGTCAAAGAGGAATGCTTGTTTTGATCAAACATGTTCTAAATACCATTCTTATTCACTATATGGCAGTTGATTTAATTCCTAAAACTGTTATAAGCATTCTTGAAAAGAAAATAGCTCAATTTTTATGGGGATCAACTGGGGATAGAAATAAATATCACTGGATGTCATGGAAAAACATGTGTCTACCCACACAAGGATGTTTGGGTATTCGTTTGCTTTCTAATATGAAAAGGCATTATCTTTGAAGTTATGGTGGAAATGAAAAAATAAGAGGTCTTTTTGGCCTAGATTTTGTTACAACAGGTACAATAGAAGTCTTGATTTTCCTCCTAAGGTTTCAGATTCACCGATATGGCGAACGATATGTAATATTAATAATATAGGAGAATGCCTAACAAATATTGATTTGAATGGTAACATCATTTG